TGGTTCAAACTTTGCTGGAAGAAATACCATGGGTGGGCGAAGGAAAACATAATATTAGGATGTAACAATGCAAGACTAAATTTGCAAACTTAGAGATTACGGAGGAAAAGGGTTATAATAAAGAGGAAAAGCTCCGATGAAATATTTAATCTATTACGTGTACTGGAGAGTCGATTTCAGTTTGGTTAAATAGAAACGATACGACACTTGCTAAAACTCAAACTCAAAATATTTTTACCAATATCAAGTTTTACAGGCAATATCAAAAACAGATAAAACAATTTACACAGCTAACTAATCAACTCCAGCCTTTCAGTTTTAGCTGCATGTGGGTACAGAGAAAAAAAATGACGAAGTGATGTGGCTAGGCCACACCCATTAAGCGTGCCGGCATCTTACTAGTTTAAAGAAAATGTTGAACTAACCTGATCTTCATTTTTTTGCAGTCATCCGTTTCATTTTTGTGCAATATAATCCATGCTTTTATCAAAATTAAACGTAAATCTAAATCTCCGCTGTTTCGATAGCACCATTTTGGTCATCTTGTCAATTTCTCGCGGCCTGCTTTGTCAACTGAGGCTGTTACAACAGGGCAGCTCAAACGTGACGTTGATTTCTACACGAAGAAACTAATAAAAATTTTGTAAATCTAACTAATATTTTCATTCTCGCATTCAAGTTTGAGTTTTCATTCAAGTTGCTCTCTAATCACTTGAAATGTTGCACTGAGCACGAATATGAGAATCCGACCAATTAACATAAAAAGCGACCAGTGGGTAATAGTTTGATGGAAAAATGACGGATTGGTGAACTAGTCCAAGTGTAGAAATTGGCCCATAACACAGATACCATATACTGCCTGCTAAAAATTCATGTGTTTTTTTGCTATTAACTTCATTCGATTTTTTAATATTAAGCGATGCCGATAATTCAGTAGGCGTTAATAGTATTGGATATGCTTATTCATCATCAGGTACCATCTTCTATCAGAAGGTTGGCTACCATGACCCTCCAACTATCCCAAAATCTGAGTTTTGGTTTGTTGTCATGGTCACAGATAAAACTGCTTATTAGATATACTTTATTGAAAAAAATAAAAACCAGACTGATATCTATGGAACAAAATTTTGTTTATATCCTAAAACGTACATTGCAAAATGGTTGTTATTTTTGCAGCAAGTGAGTGCATCTTTCATCCTCCAATGATGTTGATTACAACAATTTCTTAAAACACGATTGTTCCAATTAAGAAAGCCCAAACTCCTTTTAAGGGCAACTATGAAAGCATGGATTTGGAAGAGAGTCGAAAACATTTGTTAACAACATAGGTGGCAAAAATATGGATGGTTATTGTCGACGCCAGTTGATTGAAAAATGTATGAATTTAAAATTGTTGTATTAGTTTTATCTGGTAGTAGACCGAGATGAAAAAAGACACTAATCCAAGCTAATATGACATTGATTTGAGTGAAGGAGAATCTTTTCATAACAAATTAACAACATTTTTGTTACATCTTTCATGACAAATAACAGAAATCTCACAACAAGTTTTGTACGCTAATAATATCGCCCACACAAAGTGGGCAGTCAAATGTTTCTAGCTGATGCTTAAACACAAACCTTATCTAGGATTATTTTCTCTCTTCAAAAATGACGGAGTTTTTGACGGTTCGCTCAAATATGATTTTCAGATGGTTTTTACTTTGTTTTTAAATGAATATCATATTTTCTATAAAACTAATTTCACCGCCATTGATTGCTAGTTGATGTAAGCTTTGTAAGAACATCGATGATTGATTCGCCATAAATTAGAAAAATTAGAATTGAATTAGAATCAGACAAGAGAAATTAGAAGAAAAATATGTATTTGAAGATTTTCTCACATTTTACCAAAACAGAGGAGATTTTTTCAGCTTATAAACGGGGCTACTAAAAATGTCATGCAAAACTGTTATTAACTGCTTTTAAAACAATTATGTAGTTGTAGAAAAACAAATTCCAAAAAAACAAAACATTAAATACACCCGAACCTCAAACTATCCAGAAAATAAGAACACCGAGCCTACACAACAATTATATACCATGGTTCTTGTAAAAAGATTGTGTACTAGAAAGCAGCAATATTGCTCTACTTGCTCTTTGTCAAATGATAAAACTTGGATCAAATAAAACAGATAAACGACCAAAAGAAGGCTGTTTTGCAGGGACACATTTAACGGGGGTCCAACACCCCTCCCCAAACATTTATGCATTCTTCGGTAAATTTTGCTTCGATTCGGTCAAAAGCTTTCTTTGGAAGTCAGTAGATGAACCAAATGATGCAAAAAAGTTGCTTTAATGTCTTCTTATCTTCTATATCTTGAAGTCAAAAACTAAATTTTTAAAATGGGTGTTTCCATCACTTTTCAGTCACATCCAGGAGTTGGCACAAAATCCAATCATTATATAACATCCCCCCCCCCTCCAGACCTTGCCTAATGTTTTGATCAATATTTTCCGTATTTTTGCAGCACAACCTGTGTGTCGTTTTGTGTTGAACATTGTTATTGTTCCTTTATGAACTCAAGACAAGATTAGTTCTCTAAGCAGTCTGTAATTTTGAATCAATTAAAATTAAACAGAATTCGTTGGCTAACAGCAAATCCAAATTTGTCTCAACATGACAAAATATTCGCGGCAATTTGTAAATCTAATTTGAGGTGGTGAAAATGAATACTGTTTTCAAATTTAAATTTGTAATTAAATCTTCAGATGGCAGATTTGGAAATAAAGCCCTTCGCCGAGGAACCGAAATAAATTAAATAGTCCCAATTTGTACTTGCTTTCGTACTGTTGGTTGTGTTGTCAATTAGTCGGGAACAAATACAAAGGGACAATGCTGTTTAAATTCTGGTCGAATTTGAAATTTCAGCACCAGAATAAAGGAGAAAGTCTAATCAGATCTAGATGTTACGTTAACAATGATTCCAAATGGTTCATGAGGCATTGGTTAAATCCGCCTGTTTCTGAAGTATGTCTATTCAAAATTTGTGTGAACTCTAAAGGAAGACAGTCCCTTCGTTCTTGATTCTGTAAATGTCCAACCACTAGCAAACTCTCGCCATCAAGAAATGCTGGTATACAAACATGTTCGATGCTGAGAAACTCAGCACCAGGTAATCCTGAGCAACACTGGGTATTGCCCTACCCCTGCAAACCAGGACCGGTCCAGTTATAGAAGCGCATTTTGCTTTGGGCCATTGACAATATATCCACGCACACGGATCAGGGTATTTAGTTATAGGGGGCAGAATTTAGAACGCCATTAAGCATGATCAGTTTCTACATGAAAAAAGAAAAGCTAAGTCGTTAAGGACATGTGATTATAACAAGGACACTCTGCATCGAGTTACCAGAAGGCAACGCAACTGATACCCCTCCCACATAACATCAAGAATAGCAAGCAAGGTCACTAAATCAGCTTGAATTAGCACTCTCCTCATCTCGTGCAAATACAAAAATGACAGCACCTAAATTATAATAAAATCTGGGTATGATTCTGCGTTTAACATAGCTAAAATAAGCCTTTAAAGGTCACCCGATTCATCTTTCTTGTGTTCCTTGAAAGTAACAGCTGGACATGCCATTCTACATTGAAAGGGTCTTTGGGTGAATGAGACGTCCTAGACATAACATTGCATGGTTCTGCAAATTGCCCTGCAAACCAGCAATTCCATCCTTACGATCCTGCTGCTAAAATATCTTAACAAGCACATGAATGCGGCTAAGATGCCCAGTTATCCAAAACAAAACAAGAGAAAGGTCAAACTATTTCTGAATTGATTCACCATAGTGAATTCATGCGGATTCCAGTTAATTGGAGGCCTGCGGAGGTGCGGAGGAGCAGCTGGTGTCTAGCATTTATCTCGTAGTAGTCATATTGATTTGGTATTATGGCAGTTGATTACGACATGTGAGAAGTAAAAGCAACGTTTCGTCAGGACACCAAAGGCACGAGTCAAAGATCGATGGAGCAGCTGCACAAAAGGCAACAGAAATCAATAAAATCATGACGTGGTAATGAAAAGAAGGGACTCGCAATTATGGGGGGGGGGGCAGCAGCCTTCCTTGCTCCAGGCTCCGTGGCTTCGTAAAGAAATCTGCAGTCAGAGCAGCTGCTGATAATGCAATGCCATTGAATATAGGGTTTACCTAGTTTAGTACGAAGTATACGCCTTAAAAGAGGCGGAAAAGAACTAATGATTGCTGTGGAATGAGATTCCGTGTCCTGAATGTTTAAGGAGAATTCTATCTCATCTAAAGAACCTGTTAACAAATGAAAATCCTAGTAAATAAGGAGTTCACATGTAAGAAACACTCGCGGCCCCTTCATGGTTAAGGCCTTGGGGTTTTGAACCTACAATCTTGGCCAAAAATGCTGAGACACTTACGAAAAAAGAATCTACTTACAAATCATCCGCTCCCTTCCCCACAAATCAATGTTGTGATTGGATTGATAACCGATGTAGTGATCCCCACTTATTCCGTACTTAACCAACATTGACCCAGGGGGAAGGGGGTTTAGGTCACCAGCGCATATAATATGAAGATATAGCACGCGAATTCCTTTTTGTTCAAATGTCTCAGCTATTTTTGGCCAAGATTGTAGCTGCCCTTCCTTCTTGAGATTCTTTGGATTGAACAGAAAAAAATATGGCCAAACTTGGTACAAAATGGTTGACCTGAACAACTGCATGCCAGGTGTGGAATTGCGAGATCCGGAAATGAGTATAGTGCATTATACAGGACGAGGAGCTTAAATGCGGTAGGGCTTCAACACATGAGAGGGTGATGACTTTAAAATGGGTTGCAGTCATATTTCAAACTTTTCGTGGTATTAGGTAACTAAAACAAAGTAAAATTGACATAACTTAAATATTTTTCATCCACATTGTGAAATCTCTGCAAAAAGAACCCAAAGATCCAATTAGTTAAAAAGAGCAGAAAAGTAAAAGTCCATGAACAAAATATTTGTTGCATAATTGCAGGTTTCCTGCAAATCTCATCATTATCTAAAGTCTCAGTTGTGGATTAAAATCATTTACTGCTACTTGACTTTATAATACAACTAGTAAAATCATACAAATCGGGATAAAAATACAGAATAATATACAGCCTGGGTATACATAGTTATTATATGAGTAATATCTATGATGAGAAGATAGTTAAATGACTTTCTTCGCATAGGAAGAAAATTACTTTAGTTTAATACATATACAGAATAAATAAATGCATTAGCTAAATCGTTTTGGTCTATCATAAAATTCATTAGCATACTGGGGTCGATCTTCAGTTGCACAAATGAAACTTTGTTAGGACGAGAACAATTATGATACTATATCATCGCCTGGCCTAAATTTTCTTCTAAGCATATGATCTTGTGTGCTTTAACTTGCACAGTGCACAAATAAACAAGTGTACATTGTTAGGTCTACCTCCCGATGGTGAGTAAGGTGCGACGAGTAATCAATTGGAACACGGCTTCATTTCAACTTTAAGGCAAGACGTACAAATAAATTTAACGAATGGAACCAGGAGCATGATGTAAATAGTTGGTAGACATCACAACTGAAGTTTATTGACGCGGACTCCTTCAAGATGCTTAGGCCGTCGTCTGGAGCAGGTTATACAAAAGATTGTCTCGCAACTTATGCATTTTCTATGGCAAACAGGTTGATTGCGTTTTATTTCAACTAAATCCATCTTGGCTGCCTAGATATGTTCCTTTCTTTTTTATTGTTTCTTGATAATTGAAATGTCGTCATAAAACCTAGAAATTTAAATGGCTACATCAAAGGCAGATTTTAAATAAAAACCTGTTGAGTGTTTACATCCTAGCTATAATACAGTTTCTTGCTTGACATAGGTTTCATTTGAACAAGACTCGTCTTTAAAAAGCGACCGCAGCCTCACTTGCTTTAATGACATTGCTCTCGTCAGATCAGGGTCACTGGCTGCAACGGGTGACATCTGGCGAACGTCACTAGGAGCCATCATGTCCATCACACTTATATCAGAATACGACTCTCCAGTCTCCTCTCCAAACTCGATCTGCCTCACAATCGGTTTTAAAATTGGCGATAACACCGGGGTTGCCATTGCAGCAGCATTAGAGTATTTCCTCCTTAATTTAACCTTTTCCACCTCTGAAGCTTTGATAAAATTCGTAAAAGGCGTTGAATGGCCTTTGCTGCTACCATCTGTCGAATCCTCTGTAGAATTCCACCTTACTGGAGTCGAAAAGACTTCGTCATCATGGGCTAGGCCAGTCGACTCAAAAAGTTGAGTTCCAACCAGACTGTTTAAAGTGATCCTGTAGATTGTAGTCGGATTAATGTGATGTTCTCCTTTCGGGCCACGCCTCCTTTTGGACCAAGATGTCTCAATTACATGTTGGTCACTGCGTTCCTTTGTGGAACTGAAGTATATATCCGACTGCAATGAAGCATGTATGAGAATGATATGTTTAACAGAGGTAGCATCAAGGAGATGACAGAGCAGAAGATAGCGTACCTTTGGTTCACGAAAAAATATCCTCTTAATGATCAAAGGATATGTTTATGTGAACAAATGTATTAAGGAAGGAGTGCAAGAAATGATTCATAGAATTCTATATGCGGTAACAAGCAGGCAACAGTGAACAGTGGTCTCCCAATGAACAGGTGGGGGGAGGGGAAGAAAAAGAGACAACAGACAATGACCAACGCAACTGACAATGTACTTTTTGGCTCTCAGAAGACATTTTTCACAATACATCTAACAACAGCAGCAAGCGGCAACAAAGTTTTAAAAAGATATTTCGAGCACGCAACCAATAGAAAGAGTAATGACAGAAGTTTTTTAAGAAAGCGTATTTGCTTTCATCGATGTTATTGCACTAGAAAGATTGGCAGCAAAATCTGTCACGTTCAATTACTGGGACATTGGTTTATTTTAAGAAAATTAAAACTACTGAACCTACGAAACAAGTACAAGGTTTATGAATCATTCATAACTTAACAATAAATTTTTGCTTGTATACACCTCATCTGCCAAACACCTCCCTTCTCGATCTCATTATCATCTAACTAGTTTGGGAGTCATCTAATATTGGCATTTTGGAAAACCTTATGCAAAATTTCTTACACCTTTGTGGAAATATTGCAAACATACCTTTCCAGTGATAAAATTAATGGATGGAATAGCGATTGTGTGCACTAGATTTCCATTGACAACGAGTCGAATCTCTATGTGGTTAGATGTGAACCCAATGATGTACGGGAACGCGCACACTGTTGGTAGAAAGCAAAAAGCTGATATAAAAAATGATAAGCCATGTGTATTATCAACGTGTATGCCAAAAAGAGAGTGGGTAATGGAGGAATATGACTCCCTGTCTTACAAAGATTATTTACTGCCTTGCATTGATGAACAAAGCATAAAATACATTTTTGCAAGCATTGAATTCCAAAAGTCAGCGAAACAGGAAGCATTATATTCTACTGTTAGATTGTCTTCCAGTATTGAAAGAAGACAGTTTACAGTCCAAAATGGGCCTAGCCATTTGCATAAACGATCTTGTAAAAAGTAACTGTGACTATCATCTCAACATGAAAAATTGCGATCAACAGATTTTTTCAAATGTCTAAAAATTTCTTATTAGTTTTAAATAGATGTAGTCTAAGGGCAAATCACATACCAACTGCACGAGGAGTTGAATTCCAGTAAAAGCTGACATTCTTTTCGACAATCGGATTCAAGTGTTGGAAAACAGAAAAGTCTATTAAAGATAAAAATACAATGATATAAGGTACAGTAGAGTGAAGTTTTAAAATAAATATTACAAAAAGATACAAAAAATTGAAAAAAAAAAACAAAAAAAATTAAAAAAATTGAAGGTAAAGAAAAGTTGTCGAAAATATGCAGCAGACATTTATTAACAAGACTAATGAAGCGATTAACAAAAAGTGAAGTTGCTGTATTTTCTACTTCTAGATAAATTAGAAAGGAATTAAATGAATTAGCTTAAAATTTTTCCCATAAGGTTTAAACGTTTTTTATTCAGTGGCCGTAAGTAACAAGTAGCGGAGACGGGAAACAAGTAGCTTTTCCTGTGTTTTCTTGATCAATTTTTCCTTACGGCAACCAGTTTGCAAATTCATGACGCTACTAAAAAATTGGCTCTTGGGGGGAGAGTGTACTTGGGGAGGAATGTACTGTGGGGGGTGGGTTCTACTTGGATAGGGTGCACAGGTGAAAGGGTGTAATGGGGAAGTAGGGTGTACTGGTAGATGGGTGTATTCGAAAGGGGTGTAGTGGGGAAGAAAGTGTACTGGCTGATGGGTGCGCTGAGGGGGGGGCACTGGGGAGAGTTGTGGACTGGGGAGACGGATGTACTAGGGGGAGGGGCGCTGAAGTAATTTAATTACTCTAGGCAGGCAGGCTCAGTAGTAACAGATGGGTACATACGATTGTATGTCAGCAGTAGCTCCGGGTTATCATCTTCGTAAACATCTAATGCTGAGACTAGTTTTGCGTTCTGAAAAAGACAAAACTTGAATGCAAGCAAGTTTTGCAAAAAATCGATTCCAAAAAAAACCAAGCAAGTTTGTAATTGCCTGGGAAAAGTGTTAAACGCAGAGGCATAATTGTAAACTCAAGTATGCATGATCTCAAGAAATAAACATGAGTAACTGAAAACACCGATCAATTTTAGGCAAAGAAGGAATTACCATCAAAGAGTATTTGAGAAAAATGGGCAGCTGACATGAAAAAAATTGAAAATTTCCTTCATTTTGCAGCTTTTTTGTGAAATTAGAAATAACAGACCCAACCTGAAGAGATGGGGCCGGAAGGGCAATTGCCCCTGGTTTTGATGTGCTGGAAACAACATTTGTGCCAGAGAAAGAAAATAGTTTCTGTTCAGGTGGATCGAGGTTGTTCAAGGTGGTTGGGGGAGGCATGAGGTGCTCATACATGATAAAACATAGTTTTGCTTTAAACTTGCAAACACGGCAAACACAAACCATGAAAGGAAATATAAATGTTTATGAAAGATGTTTATGAATGTTTGGTTGGAAAAAAATGAGCATATCTCTTTAGATTTCTAAAATTAGGAAACAAGAAATAAATACCTTTGAAGGATCAATTTTTCTTAATAACATCGTCTTCTTGGTTTCAATATTGACGAGATCGAATCTGTTTTTGAAGCCAAAGCATATCAAAATGTCGTTGTTTGTATCGATCGCAATACTCAGCAGCAAAGGAACATCAGTCAGTTTGAAATCCTGCGAAACAAACGTGCAATCAAACACTTGCAGAAGAGAAAACTAAAGCAAGAATTACTTCCTTCGCTACATTGCTTTTCCAATGCTGAGAAAGATTTCAAGTGAATTCAAATACACGCACAAGTGTTTGGCTATCAAATACAAGTGTTTGGCTGAAGGATTACAAATGCTTGGTCATATACAATTTGCAAAACTGATCCTTCTCAGCTTGAAAATTACTTTAAATCCAAAAAGCCTAGATGAATTCTTAGAAAAAGATGAATCAATTTTATAAATATTAGTGATGAGAAAGGAAAGACAATAAAGCAAGCATAATTTGATTCTGAATTTCCATTCCTGCAATATATGGATCTAAAATTGAAAGTAAATCCCTTTTTTACCATTCCTTTGCTCATCAAAGTAGAAAATCGAGTAAATTAGACCAAAAATAACTAATCACGCAAATGTAATTAACACTGTCTTTTAGAAAATTCAATTTTTGGAAATATAATTTTTATCTGAAACTCATCGGCATTAACATTTTTTCACACTTCAGAGGTACAGCACTGTAAGTTTACATAGACACTCAACACCTATCAAGTTGGAGATCTAAACTCATGCGCCATTATCAATGAGATTTTATTCTAACTAAGGATAACTGACTCAAAAATAAGTGACTCAACGTCAGAGCAGGTGCTTTGTATACGCTGAGTACGTTGAAGTTTGGTACTGGCAAAGACACACACCAGTTTCATTGGTAAAGCAATCAAACATTTGATATTCAACAAAGAACTTTCTGAATAGTCATAATTGAATTGAAACTTTATGGAATGGCAATATCAAGAAGACAAACATTATGCTATCCAGGGTGTAAAACAATACTGATTTGGTCAATAAAAGTTTACGTGGATTTGCACCATAACAAAGCACTTGTTTAGAGGATACTAAAATTTGCTTGTTTTATCTATACCAGTTAGGGAGAACACAAGTCTGCTTACATTTTCAAGCTCAAATCCGACAGGAACATCTCCACTCCCTTGAAATGAGCTCATGGTATTTACTTTCCACGAATATACAAAGATCCTTTTTCGAACTGCGACAGCAAGCAGGATCTCCAATGAGCCAGGACGATTTAGAGAGTAAAGATGACACCCTGAAAGACGTAGTGAAATGAACGTACTGTAAAAAGCAGTGCTCTTCTTTGATCAAAATACCTCAAAATCAGTTTCACAACAATCACTTTTAAGGGTAAAATCTATAGATAACTTGAAACTTCCCTCTCAAATTTTGACTTGGATTAAGCCAGGTCACTGCCCAAGCAAATCTTAGTCTCGTCTGCAACAATTTAAACATTCCAAAGCTCACCTTTTGATCTTGCAAGTTTATAATCGCTAAACTCATCTCTGCTGCGAAGCAGTTTGTTTCTTCTCTCCAGCTCTCCAACTGGGATGACATATATCTTGCTCTCTATAAAAAAAATTGAAAGGAAACTTATGGTTTCAAAAGAGGCACTGGGTTAAAAATGAACTTCTCAAGAGTTTTTAATCTTAAGCAATGCTTCATTTTCTCATGCCAACCTTTCAATGTGTGAAAAACTCTCATGTGTGAAATTAATCTTTTCAGTAAAAAGAGCAAGATTAAAGCGAAAATAACTTGTTTTGAAAAATCGTGATACGATTTTGCTTTAGAGACATTTTAAAATTGGTTTATGAAAATATCTGTTTACTGGTCTGTCATAAAGTGCTCAGCTGTTCACGGTTTTGGCGTATATAACAAGACGGTTCTAAGTTACTACTGTGAGTTTAACGCTTGTTACAATAATCAGGCAACTGTTTTTAATTAGTTTAAATTAAAAAATAGCAAGTGCGGTTACACAAGGAAAACAATCTCATGTATGGGCAACTTCACCTGAACAAGTTAATTTTCTTTATGAAATGTGTACTTTTTTGCAAATTAATTTTCGTACAAACAGCAATAAAGTGATGAACAGAGCATTTCTTTATATGATTAGTCACCTGTTTTTGCCTTTTTTGTCCGAAGTATAGCAATACCCTTTGCTTCTAGAACATTCAGTTGAACAACCTGGAAACTAGCGTCGAAAATGTGATGGAAGCTGTCCCCTACAACAAAAAACCTCAGATAAACATAATATGTAAACGTTTGTAAGATGCTGCATGAAACATTCTAGTCAATAAATAATTTATTCGATGTTTTTTCTGTAAAGAATAGCTTCCCTTTAATTTTGCACTGGAAAATGCCAGATTTTGTCTCATTCATAGTCAAACCTCTAAAGATCCGCCTTCAGTTTTTTTCACGAGGCATCCAATTTTCTACATACTTTCTTGCTCAAACTGAATGATCTTGTACCACTTTATGATTCAAAACTGATTTTGTCTTCATAAACTAGAATTACCTTGCACGGTATAAAGTCCGCGGTCTGTTGCAAGAAGCAGGCCATCCCCTATTTGAGAAGAAGTGACTTGTAAGTTTCTTGAATATCACAATAACTGAATTTAATATTTCAGACAGAGAATATGGGGAAAGCAAATCGCTTCATTTGTATTCAATTCTAAAACCAAAACATACAGGTCTATACATTTAATGGGTTTTAAAGTACAAAAAAGTAATATAACGAAACACGGACAATGTCGCAAAGCTGATAATATGCTAGCAGTTGGCAAAAAGAATCCATCTTGAAAAGTACTATTTCAATTCCTTTGCACACTTTGAGCCATCAGCAAATATAAAGATACACCATGTAATTTCCTAGACGTGTAATTATCCAAAATTGAATGTCATCAGTAAAGACTGGGTTTGAACATCGAAGCTGCCAAATTATACATTAAGTCTTTTGGAATTATAAATTGCATTATATAGGCCCTGTGACGACTTCTTGTCGCGAGTGCTGATAAAAAATGTGCTTTTAGATGCTATTATATGTAACATATTTCATTTCACAAAGCTTTTCTTTCAAATAAAGGAATATATGCACTTTGAATTAAAACACTAAAACATAATTAATTTCACAACATTTAATGTATAAAATTATTGATTGAAAATTGATTTACCAAAAGAATCTCCAGCGACAACTTTTAATGGAAAGACTGAAGTTATGCAATCTGGTTCCCAGGGCTAGAAGATGAAAAACTTTGAGAAACAAAGACAATAACATTGAAAGCATCGAGGAAAAATATTGAGCTTTAATTTGTAAAATGGAACTATAGAGATATGGAGCAGTTATTGTAATATTACAAAACAGCGAGGTTTAAATTAATTTAGGTAGAGATATATCTGATGGAAGCAAGGATTTGTGCACTGCTTTGGAAAGTAAAATTTCAACCAAAGTAAAACAAAAAATAATCAAGTTGGAGAAGATAGCTAAAAAAGGTAAATTTATTTTTCAGTGATTAGGCAATTGAAAAACTGATAGAAAATTAAATTTTCTACCTGTGGATCTTTTTGCAGGCATTTTGGATACATTCATAGTTTATAAAAATAAAAATAGTGACACTATTGTTTTTGACTGAATCTAAAGGCTTCTTAGCATAGTATCAAATTGTTTAAAACAATTTAATGTGGTTTCAAAGAAAACATTTTCCATCGCTTGGAAAATTTCGATAGTAAAGCGTATAATATGCCAAACATTTAAAAAAGCGGAAAAGGTTTAGCATAGCGTCTGGCAGTCACTGGGGCAAACAGACGTCTTCGATAATAGATGAGGCAGCATCTTCACAATCAGCAAAATGCAATATATTCAATGGTAATTTTATAGACACATATTATCAGAAGGCACATACTGAGCTCCGTGACGTAATGACACCACCTGAGTTTGCTAGGCTTGTTGGAGCATCACCTTGCAGAATCTTGTTTACTTTCAAGAGCTATAAGATAAAAAGAAAACAAATGCTGCAGTCCAGGATAGAGTCAAAAATGAGCCTAAATTCTCCAAATTTCACAATTCTCTAATCGAACAAATCTTGCTCAAAGCACTTAACTCTATACTAGTTATAAATATACAAGTCTTTTTAGCATTAAAACATTAAATCATAGTTCAGAATTGGTGTTTCTAAAATCTTTTTCCTTTTCAGTCTCAAATGTCTCTTAAACAGCTTTCTAAAAACGAGCAGCCATCAGCCATCTTAGCATCCTTGACCCATTGTGGAACTAGTCTCGTCTTTCACGCAGAAGTCTAAATTTTCTCTTGCCATAATAACAAATCCCATTTGACAATGGATGAAAATCTTGTTCTAGAACAGAATGGAGGAACGTGTTACCTGTCCTGTTTCGACAAAGGCCCTCCGCTGCACTTCGCTCCTTCGGCGGGGCCGCCTTGGTGATCTAGGAGCTCCTTTGAATGATCGCCTCAGTGAAAACCGTTCTCGAAGTCCAAGGTGATCTGTGTGCAACCCTTTTAACAAAGCTTCGAGCGTACGCTGTCGTTTCTGACTGAAAACAGGGCTAAAATAGGCTGCCTTTTCTGCATTCATTACTAGAAGAAATATAACAAGCTTTACAAAAGGAAGGTTGAACGATCCAGGAACATACGCCGACTACAATAGTTTTTTTAACGAACTTGATATTTGAAAAAAATTGCACAATCTGCTCCAATTAGCACAAATTTTGTATTTGAATTCGATTATAGAACAGCAGCCCAAAAAACAATAGTAATTTAATTGCTTGAAAATATTCTTATGCGAGTTCAGCGTGAAATTATTATTTATTTATGTATTCAGCTTGAAGGATCACAAGACTAATTTATCAACGATGGAGTCTGTCATTGGAAACCTTGGCTTTAAATTTGCTGTTGTATGAAAGATTTGTGTTGCGTGCTACATAATCAAAATGTCATTATAAATGAGTGACTGTTTGATCTTTCAGAACTTTAAAACAATTACGCTGATTTGCAGCATTTGTAAAATAAAGTTGTCGATTGTCACGTGTTTGGTTTACCAACAATGATTCAAAAGAAATTGCAGCCCCACAGGAGGAAACAGTACACGACCTTGCAAATATAAGGTTGAAAGGTTACTGTTAATAAAACTGGTATCGTTGTTGGATTTTGAACATTTCATTAAATAGTTGTCGAATTACTTACAAATGCTAGACCACTAAAGATAAACTAAGAATATGGAAGAGAGAAGTAGAGTAAATAAATCACACGGCCTACATTTGGTGAGAAGAAATGAGCGAAACTCTTTTGGGTCGTGGAACACTGGTGGATTAGGAAGTGCAGGGCCAAAAGCCGGAACGTTCTCCTCGGAATACATGTATAGCCTGTGGAGTGAAAGAAAGTTAAGGTTCTTACGTAGTAGTATTTGATAAAGAGCGACTATGAAAAACCAAGTATAGTCATTAAGTACATCAACAATTGAGGATGTACAATGAATCTTTGTTGGAACAGTGAAGTCATAACACAAATTTTTACTTAAAAGCCCTTATCTAAAAACATTATGAAGCGATATCTTAGAATGATAAAAACCAGCTATATAATAAAGAATAAACAATTGCTTTTGAGAATAACGTTTCTATGTATCAATGATATGGTTTAATGATATTAGAGAGCAGAGGAGATACATAAGAATCGCTTGACATGATCAATGAAAAAACTTAACGCAACAAGTGAAAGGTCAAACGAGAAAGCAGGACAAAAATTTGAATAGATGTAAGTGGCGTTATCAAACAAGATAAGGCCGGGTGGCTGCTTCGTCTAACAAATGCTGGACGAAAAGGCGAAATAGAAAGACCATTGACTGCCCATATAACCCAGGGTATGTGATAAAGGTTTAATTCACATTTTATTTTAGCGACAACTTATTCAAGGAAAGAAAATTTGGCAAATATAATAAGATCTGAAAAATTTATTGGAACCTGGGAACTAGCTTTCCAGAAAACTTTTAAAATTGGCAGAAGAATTTTACCAAAAATAAAAACTTTTACCCGTAAAATCTAAAAATTGAGCTTATAGAAGAAAACATAAAATTTCTAATAAATATCGAGGAAAGAATATAATAATATAATGATAAGTAAAAAAATTCTCCATTTATAGAGAGACTAATAAATCACTAAATTAGCATGCACATGCTAACAATTGTTCTTTTGTTCCTTGACGTCGAACTCAGTTTCCTCTAGGTCATATTTCATTATAGCTTGATTCTCCAATAAACTAAGAATTTGTTGATAGCATCTGATAAATCGCAACAATTCAAATTTTTCACTTACCTGATATACGATGGAGAAAACCATTTGGCAGTTTAAGAACAAGCAGATAACGAAATATTTAGGTGTTAAAAGTGGTAAAATTTGAAAATATCAGAAGCATATCTATGAGCAAAAGCATCGTACAATTTTAACCATTCAATGTAATACTTAAAGTACATACCAATAGCTTGAGTCTTTTTTGTTGAAGTAAACGATTGCAAATACACCTTTATGAAATCAAGGTTTTGTAAGCTTCAATTATATATCGATTCGACTTTATCAAAGACACAGAGCCCATCTTTTAGTAAAAATGAAACATAAATCCGCTAGGCCCTTGATATAGGCTCATGATGAAGACAGTAGGGTATTAATAGAATGGCAATGATAAGAAAATTTCAAATTATCAAATAAGGACCAACAAATAGGGGTGGGGGTTAAGGGGGCTTACCCCCCAATCAGTTCCAAAATGTAGCTACAACCATACAAAAATACCTTGTTCTTGGTTTAAGCACGTTTAGCCCCCTCCCCCCCCCAATAAAATGTTTAAGCCCCTTTAATCCGTAATATGTTCCTCAGTCCTTGGATAAAACTCTATATGCAATGCAAAGACTCACTTCATTACTAGAGTTTGTATCTAATATAAGAGATTTTGCACAAAGATCGGCATCACTGGGCTTAAGAGCAGATGGCAAAACAAGACCTACCAATAACTTCAATGGGAAGATATCTAGCTACTCAAAAATTAATCAAGTGCATTCACATCAAATGAAAGTGCATACACACAAACTAACAAATAGCATTAAAAGTATAATGAATATAAAAAGGATACGATTAAACTTCGATCGAATAAATGACGGACTGAAAACAGGCTTTCTTTTTCCGTAGCCTTCGAAATAGATAACAACAACAATATCGTTGCCAATGTGTCTTTTTCTTTCCACCTGCACAAAAAATCCAACAAATTCAAACTCAATCTTTTAAAATCAAAAGTAGGTATCAAGGACACCTGCACCAAGGGGTAGCAGGGGCAATCGCCTTCATTGCCCTCCCGAAATTGAGCATTCTTCTTCGTTTTACTGTTGATTTGCCCTTTTTCTTGGCACTTTGCCCCCGTTGCCCTCTTTGAGTGCAGGCTTCCCTGGGTCATGAGATGCCTAATTTAATAAGATTCAACAAAACATATGAAGACCAGTGACGTAATGCAGTTAAGGGCACCTTAGTTTCAATGTTAAATAAAAAGCATTCCCACTTGATATATGACCTCCTGCTGTGAGATGCGATCGTCGTTTATGTTATGGCTAGGACCCGACGTCTTATCGCATTTATGAATTTTCAAAACATAAAAGGATTTATCTAAACAGCTGCGTGTTCCTGGAAACATTCTGAGTCATTGGGCTTAAATATAAATCTCTTTCACTCGTTCTTATTGATTTGGGTTTTTTCAACAATACATTGGATGTTAGGCCCAGCTGTTTAACTCAAGGAGGTTACTACCTCAAAACAATCAATCAAGCAACTTTCCCTTTCTTTTGATACACATCTCATTACATTTAAGATTAATTCCGGCTAACTTGGAAATCCCTACTCCTAACGGTTTTTTATGATTGTCAATGAGATTCTTCTTTTGCCTGTCCTAAGCGTTTCCCAGAAGTGATGCTACAGTTTTCCCTGGGTAGGCCTAAACCTCGTTATCTTTTCCTCCAGTTTTAGACCTCTTGTTCTGCAATCGTCTGCAGAGCTTCTTCGCACTGGAGTGCTTCTCAAAATATATTCAGCCATTCTATTTATTAGGACAAAATTTTGAGTAAGAGCATTTGAAAGCATTAAGATCATTTTGTCACCTGTTGTGCATGCTTTGAAAAAGGCAGCAACGTTGACACGTGGAACATAATCTCATGTCCCTCTACGACAGTGTAGATTGATTGAATCCCAGTTGTATTGTCTATCAAAGGAAAAAGGTTAAGGTATAGCAATGAATCATATAAAGGCTCTGGAAGAGTTAAAGAACCTAGTATGGCTGGACAGTTTACATCGTCAAAAGAAATCACTCATTAACCAAGAAACTGCAAAGATAAAAAAAATTGGACCTGGAAAAGTTTTAGGCCCAGTCCATATGTATACGAATAATTTCGAATCTGCAAGTTTTTTGTTGCGGATAAGGTTTCCGTCCACACGTATTCGCCGAAAATTCGCTATCGTATCCGCCTTTGACAACACAACTAGAAAGAACACGGTGAAATTCCTCTAAAAATGCAAAAAAAATTAAATCTATTTTAGATATACTGAGAAAAGGGCAGTCAAAGCCTGGTTTATAGGTTTTAGAACCCAGGCAAAATCACAGTGGTTTGGTTGTGAAAGGCCGAATGCTCGTGGGGCCACATCTCAAGCAGTTTGTGCAAATCTAGCTGTTTTTAGGCCGGTTTTCATGCCGATGTAATTCATGCCGATTTTCAGATTATGTTGTCATAATTAAAAAAAATCTGAATATAGATTTTTACACCGTCATCAATTTTCCACTCTATAGTTAAAACAACAAAAAACTATTTCAGTGCTGTGAATCAAAGCAGTAATGTCACAATTTTCTTAAGTATAGTTAGGCCATTTTGTTAGATACTCCTTAGCCCATTCATTGTTAGGATTTTCTCTATGTTCCTTTTTGCATACCATTAGCTGTGGCATACCTCTCGTTCGTACGTCATATGTCTCGCATCATAGCATTGTCTCATGTTAGCGACGCCCCCTTCCATTTTTTATGTTTTAGGTGCGGGATTTTCCCAGCATTGCTTAGGCATAGTCATAGGTTACTCATTCTGGTCCCTATGTTGTTGTTTTACCATTTGCGTAGTTTCTATCATTTTTGCATACTTTTGATTTAGATATTTTTACGTTGCATGGCATCATTCAACCTAGCCCTTGCTTTTACTTGTTATCGGCTAGCTACCATAATCATCGTGTATTGCTAATTTCAGATTCCATTCGTACACATATACAAGTTGAAGTTTAAGTTGAGTCAGTTAGATGGAGACACAAGAAACTATTTGAACGAAACTCTATCACTCGTCGTAAGGCTTTAGGTTAGGTTAGGGCCTAGTATGCTTCGTTTTTTCAGCTGTATCAAGTGTCTGGACAATAAACACGGTGTATTTCTGGCGTTTTACTCTCTGGGTTCGCGACAGTAAAATTCAAACGAAAAAACCTCTGATTTTATTAAAGTGTCACCAAAATTTTCAGTATGCATTAAAATGTCTTAGCTACGTGCAATGGTAACATGTTGGCACCCTCTCTCCCGTTGGTCCATTTCGATCAATATGAGAGAGTACTAGGATAAAATTTATAATTCTTTGTCAGTAAACAATATATTATGCATTAAGTTTGGCTAACACTTGCAAATATACACAAGAAATTCTGATGCACGGAAAAGTATCTTAAAGCAAGAGTAGTAATTCTGCAGCAACAGCAAGTTGGTAACAACTTTCTATGTCATTCAACAACGCTAAATTGACTGTATGTAGCAACGAAGTCGCCAGGTGCTGAAGGGGCAAAATCATCCAGGCAAAAAGACTATCGAAAAAGGAAATTCAACGTCACCCATTGATACCCAATAAACAGGTCTAAAAATGGTATCATCACATAACAAAAACTTCCACATCACAATCAGCACAAGTTCATAATAGTTTAATATTTGCATCGACCTATTTGAATTTTTTCTTAAGAGGATATGGTAACTTCACTTCACCCATCTGCTCCTTATAAATTTAGCTTTCAGTGATAAAACGCGTGCAAATACATTTGACCAAAAACGAATAAGAAACAATTTCTCTCCCCATCTCCAATGAAAGCAGACAGATTTCTCTCTCCATCCCCAACTTTTGGTTCTAGACTTGATAAGGACATGGCTAGATGAAAACAGTGCATAGGTGGCATTTTTGTTTCCCCGCATTTTAGAGACGATTATAGCCGATATAACTTAGGAACTTAACCTTGAGTCAATGATAATTTACAGTAATTCATTGTTAATTATCAAAACAGAATATCTAAAATTGACCTGGCGATTTGCTTCAGTAGCAATGCCAAATTTGTTACAACCCGTCATCGTAAACAACGTGAAGAATGCCATTGGTCTAACGTAAACAAATGTTTGCCACAGTCAAATACAGCTGTCGCGATTAGAACAGCTTTTCGGGAACATGCGAAAGATGAAAATATCTAGCTTTGAAAAACATTAGATACGTGCATGTGGCAATCTAACTATATATAAGGCTGCCACAACAATTTACACAAAAAATTTGTTTTAAAAATACTGAAATTAAGTAGGTATTGTGAAAATAAACTCAAATTATTTCTTTTTTTTCAACTATAATCTAAATAACGGATTTTCAACGGTCGTCTAAAAATCACTCTAACTAAGCCCTGATGCAAGATCGTCTTCCTCCCAGTAATTCTACATATCGTCTTCCTCTAGATTTTTCAATCACCAATGTATAAATGATCTTTAGCGGTTTAGAGACTTACTTTTGATATCGAGGCCTCCTTTGTAATTCTTGAAACCTCTCAGTGTTACTCTGTCACCAAGGATATCCAGAAAATAATCAAAATCCTTACTCCCAGTTGCTATGATGAAAATAAACAAAGAATAAACCGAAGAAGGAAAAATCAGTCACCATGTTATCAAAACAAGGATTTAAAAGATTATATTGTTTGTATCAAAACAGATTAAAGATTGCTGATTGCTTTGCCAGGTGAACATTTTTCAATTTTGGCAACAAAGTTTTTGTTTTTGTATCAGTTACCGATTAACAGAAGACCATATAAGACTATCATATAATTTTTTGGAAATTAAACATTATCTTTGCTAACCTCACCAGCACAGATATGAAGAGAGGAGAAGATATATTTAGACAACGGATTAATATATTTAGACAACGGATGAATAGACAACGGTTATATTTTTGGTTTTTCGTCGGATTTCATCTTGCTCTTCGTCACAAGATTTTAGGACTTGACAAAACTGCCGATCATTTTTAACAGGTTTTCATTGTAAAAGCAAATTTCCTTTTTTTAAGTTTAGTTTAAACAAAGTGAAAGACGACGAATTGCGAGGAAACAAAGTACAATATTATAAAATACGAAAACATGCAAAACCTGTTTTTTAATATGAAATTACAGGCTTTCATACACCGGTGACAGTCGTAGACAAAGATGAAAGATGAAATAAAATTTTATCCGATGAAATGCAATAATTAAAAGCAGTCCTATTGTGGAAAATCAGATCATTTCAAGGAGCAACGTACTCTTATCTGGCGTAACTAACTGGTTGCTCATGAATTTTTTCGCAGTTGGTAAATTATTTACGAAATATTTAAAATATCTTTTTACAACAAAAGCAAATAAAACACAAGCTACCCGCAAAGAATGAGGAAATTCCATATCCAATTTGATGGTAGACATAAAGAAAATGCCATACTATTATCATAACAATGTACCTTTATGAAATTTGCAAGTTTTGATGAAATCAAATCAAATAAAGATAATATAATATAAGTAAAGATAATATATTGATAGTGTTAGTTTAATTATTTAAGATAAATCAAATAAGTTTTTTGGTACTGGAAAATATGAGGATTAAAAGAAACACAAGAAACATAGCATACAAAAGCATACTATAGCGTTCATAATTTCTTTCTCTCCCGCTTCTTTCGATTCACACCTGGATATAACTTTTCAGCTTACTTTCGGACATTATTCGAAGTTTATACTCTGAAGAGTGACGGACATAAAGTGCTTTAGCGTGCTTTGCTTTCTGTATTTCGTGCAATCTTCAAATTATGTAAAATTAACGTACATTTAAGTATGAAAAACTTGGCAAAGAATTACAACATAGAATGTCTGTGCAAGAACATTGAATAAATCATAGGTTATTGGACATCAAAAGATTGGTACAAGCACTTACCATTGCTAAACATTTCATCGTCAGTTATCTGGCCTGCTTTGGCGTAAATAGTTCCAAATTTAAAGTTCACAGATCCCTGGATGAAAAAGAAGATCCACATATCACAAACGACGAAGGAACCATAGCTTTATTTACTAAAAGCTAACTTTCATCATTAAAAACTTTATCAGGTTATGAGTAAAAGAATTTCTGACGCTTGATAAAACAGGGAAAATGTACAATGTATCAACCCTTGTCGCGTTCTAACGCATTTTACAACGATATTTTATCTATCTTCTTATCTTTTAGAGTTGTCTTGAGATATTATAAATGAAAAAACAAAAATAACAAATAATGAATCTCGAATCTCGTGCTTTACCATTTGAAGCAAACCTTAGTAAATAATTAATATCATGAAAATTTAGCGTTGCTCTAATATTTCGAGTGATATCTCCAATGCTAAAAGATTATCCAAATGTACATGAAACTGACCTCTTGCTCCTCAAGGACTATGAGCTCCTTAAAAAATAAAATAAATTTTTTACTTAAAGCAGGCGTTAAAAGGTACAAACCAGTTGCAAAATATGGTAAGACAAATTTATTCAAAACATTGTTTACATGAAAAGGATTTGATTTTTCCCAAAAAGAAACTAAAGAGAGAAACATGACATATTTCTATTATATAGAGAAAAATAAAAATTTTTATAGCAATAGATCAAGAATAATCTTTTTCTATATGGAAGGATTCTGAGTTTTTTCCTCAGCTTTTTCCTGCTTAATAAAAAGGTATAAGTATGGTTTCAAATCTGTAGCAACGCAGGAATCCAAGAAAATCAATGAAATAAATAGTTTCATTCATGTGGTTAAAATAAAAAGGACTATTACTTTCTGGATTTCAGGCTCTGAGATTTCGTATGGTGCTTTTTCCACGTCAGCTGAAAAGAGCCTGCAAAGTAATTAAATATTAAGATAATTCATGTCCTTTATTAAACAGGCATGTGTAAAAAATATGGTCGAAAGTGTTGTAGCACAGACAATATTCTCCAAAAAGAACATATGCTAAAGCATAAAACTAGAGGGGATGACGTTCTTAAAAATACTAAATTCAGCAAGCAGGCTAGTAGAAAATAAACTGAACTCAAAAGAGGTTATGAAATATTTTTGAAAATTTGATAAACTTTATGACGAGTTTAAGAACTAGACCAGCTTGATTGTTTTCGTATTAAATTCTTTTCTTAACATGAATTAACAAATTTACGTTTTATTGCAAGCTTGAGGTTCCAGGGTTGGGGAAAGAGAATAATTCCAAAATTTAGTAGATAAAAAGTAACTAAATTTCCCCCAACTTTTCTTTTCCATAAAAGCTTTCTCAGGTTTAAAAGTGACACATGAAAAGAATAGTATAGAGTCTAATGTGGATATGTGTGTGGAACATAATGAATGTATTTGAAGTTGTCTCCAAAAGATAAACAAAACTCTGCTCATCCTGAAAGATGCAGATACACCTGGGTAGCCAGCCCAGGTTTACTGTTGAATGAAATACAAGAATCATGTTCGAAGTCTTGCGGATTCACAATAGCAAAGAACAGTGTAGCCAGAGAATGTAGCAAAAAATTTTCTATCTGTATTAAAAAACCAAACTGAAGCCAGTTTGTGTAGAATTCCAGTTACTTTTCACCAATAAATTGAAAAGAAAGTGTAATTTTGTTAGATGGATTATTATTCATACCTCAGGACTTCTTTTGGTGACATAATTTTTGTAGGCTTGTATGGGAAGCATAATCTTTGACAACCCTATTGAAGTAATCATATTTATGAATGTTTAAAAATATAATAACATCATACAACATATATATAAGAAACCAACATTCAATCCATGCAGCCACGTGCACACAAAATTGAGCTTAAAATGTGTGTGGTGCACTTAATGAAGGCAATGTCTTTATGAGCATGTCAAAACACAAATAACATCAAACAAGTAGGGTTACATAGGGTGCTAAGGACCCCTTTAATAAGCCCCTATCTAATTATCCTACTATAGAAGAATGTTGCACTATCTAATTGCTAGTTGATGCAGATGGTTTTGATTATGATGACATTAACAGAACATTGATAGCAAACTTAATAACCTGTGTATTATAACGTCCCCTCCCCTCTCTACTCCACCAATAAGCCATCACGCTGGAACAGCTTTAGCAAAATTAGCTCTTATCATAACTGGTAAAAATAATGTCACTGTATCTTACATGCTATTGGTCTTTTATTAAGGGTGTGCCTAATATGAGGAATTGGGTTAATAATTCTGATAACAAAAGCATAATAAAAAATGCAGCACCATAATACCAGACCTAAAGAGAGGCTTTTACAGCCTTGTCATCCTTAGCCAAAATTACTGACAAACAATATCTAAGGCCAAAACTATTTCTATGCATATTTAAGGGTGTATATTAAGCAATTTGCTTAAGTACAGGACTAAAAATTACATTTGTGAGAATTATAAGCAAATTTTCTATTCAAAACTCACAGATGCTTTCCAAAGAATACTTCTGTACTGGGGTAATCCATGGTTATCAGCTGATGTGAGGCAAACTGACAATGCATATGGCTCCTTCTTTGAATCAAGCCCAATATAGTTATTATGAACTGCAAAGATAAATTGTCTTCATTGTAAGTTTGTAATTATAAATACTGTGTCAGGTTGTTTGCAACTTAGCAAAATTTAGTATCTTTGAAGCAATGATTCTTTAAATATCAGAAAAGAGTACACAAAAAACAAATAACAGGACACAGACCAGTAGTAGAGACATATGGATATGATTTTATAGTATAGATATAACATAACAACAAATAATTACAGTGATATCCAATTTCAATTAAAGTAAAAGCCAATTTTTGAGAAAGGGCAGTTTCTGAATGGTTTTAAAACAAAATCTATTTAGATATGCCTTGGTCTGTAAAGCATGATGGTTAAAGTTGCAACTTCAGGCCCCAGGCTCATTGCCACCCATCATCAAGCAATTTCTCATCATAGTAAATATAACCGACAAAAAGCAAAACTATTTCATTCAGCATTTGATACTACTGATGAGAGCGAATAAGCTCTATCTGGAATACCTAGTGATAAAAAATTATTCAAGGATTCTTTTCCATCAAGGTATGCTTGTAAACTACAACAAACGCTTAATTTGAATACCTTGGCCCAAAAAGTACTTAAAGTACCATCTTGTCTGAAACTCTGGGTTTTCTAAATGGGCTATTGCAGAAGATCTGAAAGGAATTCCCAGTTCCTAGAATAAAGCAAATATGAAACAGAATAAGTTCCTTTATTAGCAAAATAGCAAACATAAATAGATCAATAATTAAGCCAAAGATATTACAAAAAATATTCATCTTGGAAAGCCTAATGATAAAATAGGCTTTTATAGAAACACCTCAAAACAGGTGATTCTGTATTATTGACATTCATGTAATCTGCACTGCATATTAAAACCTATTATGAAAACAATTCAAAAGCAAGGTCAAAAGTGTACAAAAGCAAAATTTGTGGCTTTCAACCACATATGAGAAAATGTCATACATATATGCCTTATTCATTATTGTTAAACCACTAATGAAAAAACACAGAGATGGATAAGAATTAAATAAAGACCTAACTGGCAGGACTAGTTCAAATCACAACCAACAACTGATACTTACCTTGTAACAAATATCAGATTAAATTTATATTGAATTGCTTGGTGTTGTTTGGTTCCTTTCCATACTTAAGTGCTGATGCACAGTTTATTCAAATAAAATAAAAGTACCATACCACTTTCCTAAATTAGTTTATGCTGTCAGTAAACTGCATAAAGAATCTTTTGTTTAATGCAAGTTGAAGTAAAGATTCTACTTACATCGGTTTCCCCAGGTTCAACTCTAAATCTAAGAATCTTTCTTCCTGGAGTATGCTGAATTTCATCTGGTTTTGACTCATCAAAAAGCTAAAAAATATATCAATAGATATAAAATCAAGATTACTCCATACTTGTTTGAAACGATACGAAAAAAATTAGCAAAACAAATGATGTTCAGATTAAAAACATTTTTTGGACAACAAAGATTTAGAGAGAAAAAACAATGATGTGTCCTTTGAAAATCAGAAAATCCAACAGAACAAATCAAGTGCTTCTCATCTAAAAATCAATCAATGGATAGCTAACACTTAACACTACATAAAAAACACCCTGTACTATGTACATGAGCAATCCATTGATCCTGGCTGATGAAGATGATTCAAATAAAGTATTTTGTCATTGATATACCTTAGCTGTTAAGAAATCTGGCTGAGGCAGTTACAATTTGTACCTTATCAAGTGACCCATAGTAATGCTTCCGGAGAAGATTATTGCACTGGTATTGCCCATGTGCTCTGAAGCTACAATGAAAAAGATAATATACTAAAATATTAAAACTCAATTGTAGCAGAAATTTTGGAAATCAACTACATATTGCTATGAACAAATTTTGAAAATTCCAGGAACCTTTCAAGTGAAACTATTTCTAACAATTTCATTGAATAATGTTATATGTTTTGGGGTTAGGTAGAAACATACCAAGCAATCTAATAAACGCAAAAATAAAAAAAACTAAGTCAAGATATGACCTAAATGGAAAAGTATCAGACATTTTAATGAAGTTTGCCTTCTGGTAACCTTTTACTTGCAAAACAGAAAGGGAGTATAACAAAATTTGCTCTTCTCAAATGGAAAAAGTGACTTTTCATATCATGAACATGCATTTTTGACAAAAATCTATCAATCTTAATGCTATGTTGTCATTGCTCATACATACTACATGATGCTTTGATAAGGCATTTATATGTTATAAAAACATTAACCATGTTATAAGCCACATTTACATTACTATATTGGTGGATCTTGGGCTATCATGGTGGATCTCAATTTAGATTTAGACAGGACGGGGAAAGTAAAGTTTAGTGTAGTGAATGGTTCATTTACTTGTGCATGGAAATCTACATCTTTTCTATAAGGAAAAAACTCATCTTCCATTAAAATCATTATTCTGAAATTATGAAAAACAAAATTACTTTTGATTTTGAAATAAAAGATTGGGCACTAAAAAATACATATCCAATTAAACTTAATACACATGACAAAGCAAAACTAGAAACCACAGTGTATGGAAAACCATACATGATACAAATCTGGGTGTAATGAAATTGGTAAGAATTTGACCTCATAATTCCTCAGACCAGAAATTTCCAAAACTTAGAGATTTCTATTTTTCTCATAAGGATAATACATATTTGCAACAATTTATTTAGGATGTAACAAAGGGTTCCTTGTGATTTTTATAGGGGGGGGGGGAGCTTAAACAGTGCTTATAATATCTTCTGGGTAGCACATATAAGCCAAGAAAAAGTTTGCTGGGTTCAAATCAGCACGCTGAAACTATTAGCTTTACACATAAAGCATGCTAGAACTTCTTGTTTCTGCACATCAACACATCCGCGATTTGAGGATGTACAGTACCGGATATTTTGTTGCAAAGTGCACAGGCAAATATCACAGCAAGTGGAGCAATCGCATAAACACAGAATTCAAATATAAGAGCAGATAAACGTCAAATTTAATGAAAAACACATACGTCGACTCTGTTGGATGTATTTCCGCGGCGTTATTATACTTATAACTATGCCACGTATTCCATCTATATTCGGACTCAGTCAGATCATTCCCTTGACCAGACGAAGAACAATCTTCACTTTTTATTCGCCTCGTTTTCTTGAATTTCTTCCAGGCATCCATTAAATTTTTATACAAACACACAAGGATTTATTGCCAAAAACAAACAAGAGCTACCTATCTTATGACAATAGCACAACAAACGTTCGGAAGGGAGACCTTTGCTCCCTCTACCGCCCACCACATCTTCTTTTCCAAACTTCTAGATATTTCTATGTAATTCCAGTGCTATCAAATATATTTTACACAGATTCTGTGCCATTATATACATCTGCGAATCTTAGGGGCATCTGCATTCGCACGTTAAAGCGATTAC